TTACAGCGCGCAAAAACGAAGACACCACGAGGGCCGACGAGGGCCAAGGGACACACGGCGGAGGGGGCCACGATCGAACCGAGGGACCGAGGACCGACAACTCGGTGGAAACACCGCTGCTTCTATCTCGCAGAGAACGCGGGCCGACGTCGCCTCGCTCGAACGTGGAGGCCACTCATATCGGTGGCGTAGTCAAACAGCGGGATGGCCGATCACCTGAGAGGCGCAATCAAACAGCGGGATGGCCGCTAAGCTGAGAGGCGCCCGAGGCAGCCTCATTTGAGTTCGCTGAAGATCTCGTCGTCGTCCGCGTCGAGGAGCTGGCCGATTTCCGACTGCGGGCGGAAGCCGGCGAGGGGGCCGCCCGCTTGCGTGGCCTTTGTCTTCGTGGTCTTCGTCGGGTCGTCGGGGCTCTCGTCGTCCATGGCGCTGCTGTCGCTGCTTGGCTGGATGCTCCCGCTTCCTGGCTGGCTGCTACCGCTCGCGCACTGACACAGGCCGCCCGCTCCCCAGGCCATAGGGCCCGCTGTCGCGGCTGCGGCGCGGGCCGCCTGCCACCCCGCATTGCTCCCGTACAGGTCACCGTCGTCGCTCGCCTTCCACGCGTCGTCGCGCTCCATGACCTCCTGCTCCCACGCCCCGTAGCGCACCCTTTCCTTCGTGCGCCTGGGCTGCTTTGCCGCCCGATCCATATGCTTTGCGAACCTCTGGGTGTTGTCCCTCGTTCGGACGCTCTTGCGGGTCTCCGACAGCAGGACGCGCTGGTTCTTTTTGACCTTTTGAGGTCCTCGATATGCTTGGCCTGTTTGTTGGTCTTCTTGCGTTGCTCGTCCTGCTTGGTAATGGGCTTGGCCGTGCGCGCCGCCGCGCTCGCTTTGGCCTTGGGGGGCATCGCCGCCCGCGGTGGCCTGGGATGGAGCATGGAGACCCCGAGGTCGCACTTGAAAGGCTCGAGCCGCGGTGGTCCATGGAGGAGGGGGGGGACGCTTCGAGGTCTGAACCATTGCAGCAGCTCGCCGGATGAGGGGCTGCTGGTTTTCAAAATGGGGCTCCCGCACTTTCGCGGCGGACATTCGACTTAAACGTTTGCAGCAGTTACACATATGATGTCTGGATGTTTGGACGGCTGGAGGTCAGATGGTTTTCAAAATGGGGCTCTCGCCTTGGCACCGCGGGCATTCGCCAGAAAAGTGTGCAGCAATTACGCACATGGAGGATTGCTGGTTTTCAAAATGGGACCCTAGCCTGGGCGCCGCGGGCATTCGTCTTTGCAACCACCCGCCACCCGAGAGGCACAATACCAACCTATAAATCAGCGGCGGCGGAATTGCGCGGCAGCGCCACTGGATGCAACAGCGGAATGAGCCGCTAAGAAAAGAGCTCCCGAAGTTGGGTCCTCGCTCGGCATGCGCAGCGGCTGCATATGGTTGGGCCCTTCGCCAAAGCGTTTCTTTTTCATGGCCGATGCGCGCCTGGGCACGCACGATCCATTATTCAAAGGATCGGGCGCGGCCTGCCAGCAGCAGCGTGCGGACGCAATGTTACATCGCGATCCTGCTGGGAACCACCGCATCGAGCCGAGCCGAGCAGCGCGCGAAGCCTAGCTGTCCCGCTTCGGCGGCTTCGGGTACATCGCCCGATACTCGCGCGCCCACCCCTCACGCGTGGCCATCGCGAAACCCGTGTGCCACTGCACGTTCGGGTTCTTCTTCCCGCCGCGGTCCCCGTACCTGCCGCTCGCGCGGAGCACGCCGCTGTCTCTGCGGCGGTCGCCCGTGATCACCCTGGCGGCTGGCGGCTGCGGCGGTTGGCCCGAGCTGCTGGCGCCTGGGCTGGTGTCGGCGGCTGGCGGCTGTGCTGGCGTCTGTGTTGGCGGCTCGCCCGAGCTGCTGCCGGCTGTGCTGGCGTTGGCGGCTGGCGGCTGGCCCGCGTTGCTGGCGCCCTCTGGTTCACCGATGCTCTCGGCTGCTTGCGCCGCCTGTGCTGGTGTAGGCGGCTGGCTGCTGGCGCTGGCTGTGCTGTGGTGGGCGGCTGGCGTCTTGGCCGAGCTGCTGGCGCCATCTGGTTCACCGATGCTCTCGGCTGCTGGCGCCGCCTGTGCTGGTGTAGGCGGCTGGCTGCTGGCGCTGGCTGTGCTGTGGTGGGCGGCTGGCGTCTTGGCCGAGCTGCTGGTGGTGGGTGCTGGCGGCGCAGGCCTCTTGAAGCCTCGGGCCTTGCACTTTTTGGGCTGCGGGCACGGCATCCACTTCGGCGTCTGCGGCAATATCGGCTGATGGCGGCCCGAGTCGTTGCATGAGAGGTCGGCTGGGTGCAGGCTGCTGGCGTAGACGGAGCGGCGAACCCTTGCGGTGGCTGGCTTCTGGCTGGCAGCTGGCGTCGGCAGGCTGCTGGCGTCGTCCGTGCTGGCGTGGGCTGCTGCATCCTGCTCCTCGTAGTAGCTGGCCGCCTCGTCCGCCTGATCTCGCATGTCCGTCGTCGCGGCCTGCATGTCTGGGAGCATCGCCACGTATTCTGGCCACCGCGGCGTACTCTCCTGCCCCCAGAACAGCGCGCAGTCGCGCGCGAACACAGCCTGCCATTGCCGCTGGTACTCCAGGTACGCCTCGACGGCCTCGGAGTCGGACAGCGCTGGGACTGGAGGCGCCGCTGAACGCCAGTCCACGACGGGCAGGAAGCCCGCCATCAGCCCTGCCGCGCCGCAGAGCCGAGCCGAGCACAGCCGCCGCCTCGGCGGCGGCTCAGGGCCGCTTTGGCCCTGGAGAACTAAGCCGCGCGCGGCTGCGGGGGGGAAGAGATGGATTGGGGAGGGATAGGGGGAGTCGAAGGAGGATGAAGGAGGCCATCTATCAGTTTCTTAACAGTCCGTGCTTCCAACAATTTAATTATAAGGGGTCCATCTTTTACACCCCCCCCAAGCCCAACTTCATATAGCGGGGGGTGGGTAGACCCATCCCACGATATGCAGTGTTCGTCGAAGTTTCGTTTATGGTACTCCAAGGCGTGCGGATGCCACGCCTCTGTCGTTCTCCGTGAACTTGGGAAGCTGTGCACCGACAGGGTCACTCCCCATAGGGCAGAGCATCTGAGTCGCATCCCGCGCGGCCTCGAGCCCATGCAAGGTGCTGAGTGCCGCCGGGAAACTCAAGAAAGGCAGAGTTTAGTGCAGTGCGTCTGTGTCTCCCTGTGTATCACACGTGGGCAGGCATTGGTTGACATTGTCACATGGTCATACTCATACTTATTCATAAGGCAGGCCAACGTTTAGGCAAACGTGCTGCCACCCCATGCGAGTTCAGCGGGGAACCGCCCGACGCGCATCGCAGCCCCAGAACTTATGGAACTGATGGAACTTATCATTTGGCTCTACTCAAGATGATAAAACTTAAATAAATAATGAAATGAGCTGCCTAAGTCCAATCTGTTCTACCTCAACACGATTGACGGCGCTTCGCCTCCTGATGGCCCGGGCGCCCGAGAGGCCCCCAGAAGCCTAGGTCATGGAAGCAACGCCTCCCTCGCTACAGGCGGGGCGCTGAAGGAGGAACCCTTTTCGTTGGGGAGGGGTTCCGTGTTCCTTGATTGTTTCACAGTTTGCCTCCGGTTGTCCTTAAGTCTTCGATGGGAAATCGAAGTTTAACTTGTGGAAAAGGGGGCCTTTTTCCTCATTTAAAGTTCCTTAGGTCACCGCCCCGATTGTATTTTTTCTCGGGATGCCTGAGCCTCGAACCTCCACACAGGCCTCCACGAGGCAGCAGCTGCCGTGCCCGACTCTGCGAACAGGCAGTGAAGTGGAACTGCTGGACGGGGGCGTAACTGCATCGTCAGAGTGTCAAGCAAGCGTTACTTTAAGGCTTCTCCCTGGGGGTGCCTCGATTGTTCCGCGCCTCCAGGTGCACGGCGCGTCCCAGCCGTTTCTATTGCCGGCGCCACAGAGGGGGTGTTGCTAGGAGTGGTGCTGGCTCAAGGTGTCCCCCACATCGCGCACCATTTTGGAGCCCCTCGGGCCCTCCGCTGGGCCTCGTGAGGGGTGCTCCAAAGGCCATCCACAGACGCCCAACGTCGCGATATTTGCACAACGTGGGCGCTCGGAGGGCCCTCGCCCAGAGGCCGAAAGTGGAAAAACACTTGTTCATGTGATTAATTTTGCCAAGACGCGAGGAGGGGTCCGGGTCTGGGCCTCCTCGGAAAGCCTTGGGGACACCCGAGCAGTGAAAGACTCCAGGCCTCCCAGATGGCGTCCGATTCATCGGCCATGCGGCTCGATGTGGAGCCCGACTTTCTCTCCACGCCGACTCGGACCATGTCGGACCCCATCCAGGAGGCCTCTACAGCCGAGACGCTGGAGGAAGGGACAGTTTGGGCTCGGAAGGGGCTCTCTGTTCCCCAGGTCATCCCGTGGTTGCTCCTCTACGCACGCAAGCCCCCCCTCGCGCACCCAGGCGCTGCTGATGCCAAAGAGGGGCTTCGTTCCTTCCTCAGCGCTCCTGGTTGCAGCAGCTCGACTGTAGTTCGCACGGGGCCAGGACGAGGAAAAGTCATTTACAGAGCGTTCCGCAGCGCTCTCCGAGCGTTCCGGCTCGCTCTGAGAAGGCCGCGACGCCCGGGACATCCTCCAGAGCAGCTGGATCCTAGAGAGTCTCAGAATACCCTGATCACTGATCATTCGATACTGGAATTTTCCAGTCGCGACCGCGAGACGGGTTGCTACCGTTTTTGCTGCAAATTTCCGTATCGGTCGCGACTGGCTTGCTTAAAAATCGGCCGCGGCCGATCGGTCGCGACCAATCGGTCGCGATCGGTGGCAACCGGTCGCGACCGATTCTGGGATCGGTCGTCATCGGTCGCGACCGACTTGGAGTGCCGATCGGTTGCTACCGATCGCGATCGAAGAACATCTGTACCCAATGATCTGGGTATCCTCGCCCGGTTCCGCCCTCGTCTTGGCTGCGTCCTGGTCGACGCGTGGGTGGGCGGGCGAGCCGCGCCCGGCTCGCGGGGAGGTCGACCTGGAGGCCATGCTGCAGAACAACAAGGTGCTCGTGAGGAGCGCGCCGGGGCCGCCGGGGGGCCCCCTGCGGCTGGCGCTCTCCCGTGGGCCACGCTCGGCACCGGCCAAGCACACTTCGGCGGCGAGCCGGGGGGGGGGCAGTGAGAAGGAGAATGCCCTCTCAGAAGGCGGCGGAGCTTCGCAGAAGCCCTCGGGGGCCTGCCGAGAAGGCTTCGGTGTCTCCGGTGGAGGCTCAGAAGGCTTGTTTGAAGGCAGGGGAGTTTCCGAGCCTTCTGAGAAGCCCGGCCCCCCTCTCTCACTTCCCCCCCCCCGGGCTCGCCGCCGACTGCTGATACGATGTGCCCGTCGGCCGCGCGAGGGCGACGCGTACGCTCGGAAATCTTACAGCAGCAGCTCCGTGGCTGGCGCTGTTGGCCGCACCGCTCGGGAGGTGGCTGTGCTGCATGTTCGGGTCGGACGCACGCCTCCAAGGAGGACACACATGGTAATAGTACGCCAACGTGCGTCCCCTACACGTAAGATCGGCAGCGAAATCCGAACCATACCCTCGCCGAGCCGCGCGTCGAGCAACTCGATGGGCCGCGGGGTAGGGTTCGGAACCTATCGAGCACGTGGCGAAATCCGAACCCCACCCCCGCTTCGAATTGATTCAGGATAGGCGATGGTTGGGGGGGTCGGATTCGGATGTCGCCTCCTATAAGAGTGACGTGCCGACCATGCAAAGTTTATTGTGAATGTTTATGCGTCTTCTCCTAGTGGTCCGCCAGGTCTCCACGCCATGCGGCCACCTGTTTTCGGGCATGCTGCGGTGTCAGTGGCTTTGGAAGTGCGCCGCCCACCCTTGGAATCGTCGACGTGGAGCGTGTCGAGGGTCTTGGGTATACTCGCCTTTTCACTCTTCGGAGTGAGCTCGTATGACGCTCTTCAGCCGCTTGCCCGTGCCCTTTCCTGTCTGTACGCGTGTCGACGTTTCGGCCTGGAGTGCCGCGTCAGGACACTAGGCCACACGCGGCACAACAACTGCACGTGTCACAATGCTGCAGTCAACGTTGTATGCAGTACGTCAAGCAATGACACATGCAGAGGCCATTCGATCAAGGACATTCCTGCATAGGATGATTGCTGCTGCTGCCGTCGGGTCTCTGGATGGGGACGACAGGGAGTGTAGATCAATCTTGCCAGGACACATACACGTGTTCGTTACATGCTATGCGGTCCTGTTCTTCCGTGTCTTCCTCCTCGTCTTCTTCTCTCGCTCTCTCTTTCTCTCTCTCTTTTGTTGGAGTGGTGACATCGAGACCCAAGCGAATGGCGATGATTGGCCGACATGCTTCTTCTCATTACTTCCCTCTCCACTTTCACTCCTGAGTATTTCTACCCTTTAGCTCCAGCTCTTTCGTACGATCCGTATTCGGTCTTCTTTCCCTGCGCGTTACCGGGTATCGGATCGTCTCTCTTCCCTTGCCGCCGTCTTCTCTGCAAGGAGGGGTCCTCTTCTCCAAAGCTGCCCCCCAAGTCCGGAGTGCCCACCCTGGCAGGAAGAACCTGCACCACCTTCACAACCTGAGCCGCCATTTCAAGGACTGCCAGCAGCCTCTGCCGTCTTCTCTGACGCGCATCACGCAGGGGCTTCTTCTGGGCAGGCACAAGGTCAGTGATAGGCTACCCTCAGACAGCCTGCATCACAGTTCGCTTCATTTGTTTTGCGATGTTGCCCTCCCCTTGCCCCCCGACCCATCACGCTGGTTGATACCACGGTCTTCAACAGAAGGTTCAGAGACGTGAGCGAAAGGGGCATACTGCATCGCCGTCTGTCCGCAACAAACCGACATCGTTGCTACTTTCTGCTAAGATGTGGGCACTGGCCTCGAATTAGACCAAGCCGCACAAGCATACACGTTCGGAGGTCCGCCCGCCAGGGGGCGGGGTCCAGAGCCGATCCATGACGTCTGCGCAAAGCTCCCACAGCACACGTTTGTTCTCTTATTCTCCAGGCAGTGCTGGCACTTGGGGGTTCTTGCCAGGTTGGCCTAGGCACTGCATGGGCATGCCAGGGCTTCGGCTGGTCGCCGGGTGCCGGGCGCCCACGGGCGCCTCGAGGGCGCCACGCGCTGGTGGGGCACGTGGAGGTGCCGCCTGGCGCCCGCCCGTGGGCGCCTCGTTGACGCCCCGCGCTTGGTGGGTCAAGCCGAGGCTTCGCCCGGTGCCCGCCCGCGGGCGCTTCGTGGGCACCCCGTGCGCGGGGGGAAGTATGCCGAGGTTTCGGCTGGCGCTCGGCTGGTGAGCGCCTTCGTGGCCAGCTACCGCCTGCGGGCGCCTCCGCGCCGATGGGGTCGGACGGGGCGGGCGATGAGCCGCGAACCACGAGTATAGAGAGAGAGAGAGAGCGCTCCGCTGGCCAGTGCAGGCGCCACATAGGAGGAGGAGGAGGAGGAGGAGGAGGAGGAGGAGGAGGAGGAGGAGGCCACGGTGCCCCTCGTGGGCGCCGCGTGCGCCTTGGGGGAATGCCGAGGTTTCCCCCGGTGCCCGCCCGTGGCCGCCTCTTGGGCCCCTCGTGCACCCACGTAGACTGCACCACGAACGTTGCGCCAGATAGTCGTTCACCACGTTGCTTGCACCACCCATCTTGCCCCACATGGCTTGCAGCCCACAGCTTGCGCCGCAGGTGGCTGCACCACAAAGCTTGCAGCACGTAGCACATGGCACATGGCTCACGCATCCCTTTTTGTTGCACCACGTCGATTTCCCTTGTCAAGAGGATCACAGGATCCAACCCCCCTCCCGACCGTGGTCCTCTCAGTTCCCCTTGGAACGTTGCAATTTACATGTGTTTCTGCCTCAACGCTCGTTTTCCCATATGGAACCGTAACATCTTAGGCAGGCTGGTACCGTTTCCCCATGTCATCCCTGTCAAAGAAGACCTGAGCCTGTTTTTTTTTTTTCCGGGCCGATGGCGGCCGTCATTTGGGTGGGGGGGACAGGGGATCGAACACGTCACGCTTCGCGCTGGCGGCGTCTGCGAATGCCTAAGAATGACCGAGGACGCGTAGCAACAGCATGTAGGTAGCGATCTGCACCACGGCACCTGTGTACACCACAGTGCCTACGTGCATCATTGCGCCTATGTACACCACAGCGCCTGTGTGCACCACAGCAGCCGCGTGCAACACAGCGCCAGTGTGTGCCACAGTGCCTGCGTGTACCACAGCGCTTGTGTACACCACGGCGAAAGTATTCACCGTATCAACCATTTGCAGCACAGCACTTGTGTACACCACAATGCCTGCGTGCACCTCAGCGCCTGAGTACACCACGGCTGTTGTGTGCACCACAACCGTGTGCAGCATGATAGAATGTGAGAAGGAATCTTTATGACAAAATGGAGCGCTTGTTTATTCCACAGGAAACAGTTGTTTTCCACAGGATTTGGAAACGGGCTGTTATGGAAAAACGAACGCCGCTGGAGTCTACGAGTCCTCCCGGGTCCTCCCGAATCATCATAACTCCTCCCATCCGCGTCCAGGAGGCTCCCGCAGAATCGGCTATCCGAGAACCAAGTGGGCTGTTTCAATATTCCATTCTGTGTCGCACGCTGAGATGCGCACGTGCGGTGCAGCGCCGACTCGCACGACGGTGGGAAGAAGGAGGTGGAGGAGGAGGGAGGCGGCGGCGGCGGACGATGGCAGTGTCGTGAAGACTCTAGAAAACTCTATTGAGAAGATCCCCGGGACCTGTACAGAAAGAGAGGGCCCATGGCAATTCACAGAGTTAAGACTTGAAAGACAGCTGACCTGACGATGGGGCGACACGCCTGTGGCGTCGTTCTCTGGCAGCAGCTCGGTTGGCTGCGATCCTGACTAAATGGTCAACTATGAGGACGGGGGCAGGGGGCGGGGGAGGGGGAGGGGCCGAAAGAGGCGAGGCGGGGAAAGTAGAAGAGGGAACCTCGTCCTCACAGAAGAAAGACGGGTCTCCGGCCCCGTTGGGCACAGAGATGGGGCGACTGCCTGCTGCTGCCGCTGCAGCTTCCGCCTGGGTGCATTCCTGCGGCGGTGGGTGGCCGGATTCCTCGGCCGGGGAGGGGTGGGAGCCAACAGGAGGCAAGGGCGGGGGAGGAATCCATCTGTACACTTCAGGATCACCTCGTTTCCTGGAAGTCGCGGTGTGCAGCGCAAAATCTGGTGCTTCCCAGAACTCCACTGTTAACTCGACCCTGAAGTCAGAACGCCCTGCAACAATCGTATCCTCCCCTTCCTCAGGGGCCACATCTGAGGTGGGGGGGAGGAGGTGGTATATCTTCTTCCTCCTCCGATGGCCATGCACTCTGAACTGCATCATGCATAGCCCGTGCTATGGCGGCACACATTATGTCGGGGTGCGTCTTTTGGGAGGTGGTTCTGCAAATTCGGTTATCCTCGCTCTTGCCTAGCAGTGTGGTGTGTATTCCTCTGTCGTGACAACATGTCCCCCCGTTAACGGCCGTGAGATACTGGAACATCTTGGGGAGCCTCAGATCGAGAATACTGGTGTGGGCTCTTCCTATCGTCTCAGGTGGTGCGTCCTGCAGCGTACACTGGTCGAAATCGATGGTACTGGCAACCGGGCAACACACGAATGCTCTGAGCGGGAGCCATGCGAAACTGGAAACAGCCTGCGTTTTTCACACTGCAGGCTGAGGATGCTCCAGCCATGCGCACGTGCCTGCTCTGACATGCTCTGCCGAGAGGAAGATGAGAGAGTGGAGGAGCTTATTCCCTATCTCGAGCTAGATCGCCTGCTTGTGGTGCTCCATGGCACTCCCCAGTAGTGTGTGTGTGTGTGTGCTTGTGTGGGTGTCCTGAGCGGGGGGGGGCCCCCGCCATTCCAACGAGCGGCACTCCAGGTCTCACAAGGGCGACCCACTCCTGTGACCCAGACTCTTCGTGCTCTGATGTGTTCGGCCCTAATCTTGAAGGTGACGTGCCTCGTGATGTCGCATCTTATAGTGTCGACCGTTATGCCGATGGAGAGTACTGTGCATGTGACGCGCGTGCTCATGCTCAGGCTGTCGATGTGGTGCTGTATGTCACCAGTTCTTCTTCGCCCACAGTACATATGTACTATATCTACCTCAGAGCGTTGTATCCTCCATGGCACTTGCAGTGTAGCTGGTTCCTGACAGCCCTGTGGTCGGAAGAGGTAGTATCTTTCCTGAGCGGGGTCGATGGCCTCCAAGGGCCGTGGTCCAGGTCGTTCGTACCAGACGTCGGTCATGGTCAGAAGCGCTTCAGGGGTAAGCTCGTAGCTGGAATCTCTCAAATCTTCTCTGGCAGCGTTTTCCTCCAAATGTGAAAATGCCCCGACTGATTCCCACAGCATGCCGTCGGCACATTGTGTTGGGAAAGCTGGGTGCGCCGCTCTCCACGGTCCTAAATTAGTGTTTCGCTTGTCCTGGCCGTGCTGTCGGTTTCTCTCCGCTGCCTCCTCCGCTGCTGCGGCAGAAAGCTGCAGTCCGTGCATGAGGTGAGAGAGGCAGCATCTTGCTGACTCGTATGTTAGATGGTCCCTGAGCTGTCGCCTGGATGCAAATTCTGTTGCGCACGCTCTGCACACCGCTGTGTCCCCCATGTGATACTCCACCTGTGAGACCATGGTATAATGCATACGTATAACATGCTGCTTGAGTGCTCCTGCTTTGCGGAGTATCGTCGAGCACCACGAACATACGTAGGTAATTGGTGCGTCCCTCTCTCTTCACCTCTGAGGGGGTGATCTGGATGCATGACTGGGAGAGGAAACCACTGGACTGCGTAATCTGAAGGAAATCTCGCTCGGCATTGCCAGCGAGTGTCGCCTTTGCCTGCGCCCATGTCGCTCCGTGTTGCGCTGTCTTCAAAGTTTGTCTCCATGCTGTGAGGGAGGCTCGGATACGTCTTTCCCATGGTGCCAGATCTTGGTATGGGCTGGGTAGATCACGATATGTGTTGTGTACCGAGCCTAGCCACTGCAAGTCATCAGGTAGGTGGTGAATCCACGTGAGTTTCTTGGCATGGTGCGCGACGGAGGTGCGTTATGCATGGGCTGATCCATGATGGAGAACTCTGCCTAATAACCGTAGCCTGTGTATGCGTAGTTGTATTTCCAGTTCGCCGCATGACTGCCACGAGTACCTCCCGGCCAGGAACTTCCTGTCCATCATGCCTGTGAAGACCTGCTGCCGCTCTGTATATTTGTATGATGTTATTGCGCAGTGTCTTCAAAGCTTTTTTCCGGATGGATTCAAGTGATTGTGTTGAAGTGTAGTGAAGACGTGATCCGAGCGTCGACAAATCGCATCTTGTTGTCTCTTTAATGCAGCTCACCATTGTCCTCGCTTTCCTGGTCGCTGAGTAGCTTGGAAGCCTTCCTGGCTGAAGGGTCCCTGCTTAGTGACGGGAAGACTCGTCTCCTTAGTACTTGGGGGACTGGGGGACCTCTGCAATCCTGTGGGCAACTTCATGTTTCGTGGCGCCTTTTCGTCCAGGACGGTCCCGACGAGAGGCTATTGTCGGACTGCACAAATAGTGAACTCCCCCGCGATGTTTGTTTTAAACCTGAACTTGCCCTGTTGTGTCCTCCAGAGCGCGATTTTGGCGAGCTCGGAGTGGGCACCGAAAAACTGGAAGAGCAGCTCCGATTTGCCTTGCTTGAAGTTGAGTTGGAGCCCTCGCTCCAGGAAGCTTGACGCAATCACGCCTGCAACATCTGACGCAATGGCAAGGAGGTGCACGAGCGGGCCTAGTACTGCAAAGGCTCCGCCGTCAAAAAAAACATATGTCCAGCACTGAGTGAGTGACGCACCTTCTAGTGTCGGTATACACGTAGGTATGTGTAGGGAAGTGAGCGGTTGTTTAGCCAGGCTGACATTCCGCCATGATGAAATTGAAAACCACGCCCCCCATTTGTTGTTCCGGAGCCGTCCCCATCATAGGAAACGCCACCAGAGTAGATCCCGGGTAAGTGAACCAGGAACCGTGGTGAGACGAGGCCGTGAGGGCCGCCAGATGTTGGCCCATTGGGGCTTGTCGAGAGCCGTGGGTCCTTCCCTGAGACGCTCCATGAGGCGGTGCACTGCAGCTGGCGTCAGATCTGCGAGCTTAAGTCGCCCGGCAACATCTTCCACTGTTTGCACGTAGTCATGACAAGTTGACGTAGAGATGTGTAAACTGCTTGCACAACGTCCACCAGCAAAACATGATTGAAACATTCAGGACTTGGGCAAGATTGGAGAGCGATCTGAGGGCCAAGCCTGCCAGGTCGACTCCTCTGCCTGCATTTCCTCCAAACTGCGACTCTCCAGCTTGCTCCGGTAATACTTCCGTTAGGAGTGCACGTAGTAGCGTGCGAAACTTCTTTCCAATATGTGCGGGTATCAAAACCGATCTGGAGTTGTTGGGCCATGATGGGACATCTCCTCGTTTCCAGATGTTCCCGTAGCATCCCCCCCTTCCATTCCGCAGTACGGCTTTAGTGACGATTGGAAAGTAGATGCGACCTAAATCGGCGCTGAGCTTAGCCAACAGCCTACCCGATATGACATCCAGGCCGATCGCTGAGGCGCGAGACCGCTTGCAGGCTGTCTGAAACTGAGGGATTGTTGGCAGAAAAACTTGTTCTGGGGCCACTCCGTTGACCTCAGCTTCTGGCACAGGCGGGAGCAGACCATGAGCTGCTGGGACATGCGCGATCGGAACAAGTGCAGTAAGCTTATCCTTGCCAAAGTGCCTTAGCCAGGTGTCGGCTGCCTCAGTCGTGTCTGAGGCTGGTGTGTCGTTGGAGTGTTTTACTACAGGTCGTGACCTTAGTAGTAGCCGCTTCGTAGACCCAGCTCCCATCCGTCATGGCGTCTCAAACGCCTTTTCCGTGCGGTGCTTGGTCCATTCTGTAAGTAGTTGAATACCTAGCGAGTGGTAGTTGATTATATTTGGATGCAGTTTTCCTTCGCGTCGAGCGGCCAAGCGAGAGGGGTTCCCCACTGTCCGTCTCCTCTCCTGCTCTGCTCTCCTGCTGCTGCTTTCTCCCCTCTCGCGGCCATTCTGGTTTCAAGGCTTGCATGGGCCGGCGCCGCGCTGGATGCCTCTCCCCCTCGCGGCCCTCGGGGAGCGGGGCTCGGCGCTGGTTTCGGTCTGGGCCAGCCGCTGCCCAGCCTGCCCGGCCTGCCCGCCCTGCGGGTCGGTCAACGTCACCTGCGGCAGCTGCCCGGCGGCGCCTGCGGTGGCGTGCCCGGCGGTGCCTGACCCTCGGCCGTGCCCCGAGCTTTCCTGCCCAGCCCCCGCTCCGGCCTCGCTGGACTGGGTCACGTGGCAGGGCCTCGGCTGGGTCCTGGGCGCGCTGTGCGCCGTGGCGGCGCTGGCTGTCTGCGCGCCCGTCGCGGCCCCGCTGCACGGGTTTACCGCCCGGGCGCCAGCGCGCCCGGCAGGCGACGGCGGGGCAGGCTCCGCGACCTGGCCCAGGGCCGTCCGTGGCTGATGGCTCGGGCACAGCCCGAGACCCTGGACATCGCGGAGAGTCAGGTGTGCATCGCCTTCGACGACGACCCGAACTTCCGATGGCACCACCGAGTGCTACTGGTCCCCTCGCCCACGCCAGGCCACTGGGTGGCCGCGACTCCCGACGCCGAGATCTACCTTCTGAAGCTAGACGAGTACCTGGTGGTCGCCCTGCCACGGGCGGCCGTGTTCCCGCCGAGGGTTCGGGGCCAGGTCTACGCGTTCGGAGCTCTCTCGGACGCCGACCTGGCCAACCTGCGCCGCGACGGGCGCAAATTCGCGAAGGTGCTGGGCTCCCCCCCCCCCGCTGCGCAGCCTGGGGTCGACGTCCCGAGGCGGATCGTCTCCGACCCAGCGAGCGACCACTTTGGGGAGGAGGTGAGCCTGGAGCTGATCACCTCGGCGGAGCGGTTCATCAGCCGCGACGCGGTGGCCCTCGCGATGCTGCCCGACGCCGAGGGCTGGGTCACCGCCGAGAACGCGCAGCTCAGCGACGAACCGGACTGGAAGGCGGAGAAGAGGGCCGGGCCTGGCAGGGGCCGCCGCGTGCTGCCGCAGACGGGCGCGCCCGCGCAGACCGTCTCGTTGGCGCAGCTGGCGGCCCTCCTGAAGAGCGTGGGCGTGGAGGACTGGCCCTTCGAGGGGCCCAGGGCCCTCGTAGAGTTCCTGGCCGCGGTGGTCTCGTCTGGGCACTCGCTCTCTTTGTACTGGGGCTTCTGGGTGGCCCAATCTGGGGTCTCGCGCGGCAGCGCCGTGGCCCAGGAGCTGAAGAACATCGTGGAGGTTCTGCATCATGCGCTGGTCTTCGACGCGCTGGATGTCTCGAACCTCGCCTCGTTCGAGCTCCTGAGTCGGCGGGCCCTCCAGATCCAGAGGGCGGTCAAGCGCTGCCCTCGCCACCCTTCCTTCGAGGGCTTAGAGCTGATGGTCTCGAGCCGCCTCGACGACTCGGGGGGCGCCGTCACGACCAAGTTCGACGCGTGGGTCGCGGACCAGCAGAAGGCGAGGGGCACGGTCCTCAAGCAGGAGAGGATGTACCGGGGGGAGGCCGACCACGAGGACAAGAAGTACCGCAACGAGCAGAGGGACGAAGCCAGGCCCCCTCGCCCCAAGGCCAAGCCGAAAGGCAAGGCCGGGGCTGGGCCGGCTGGCGGTGGATAGCAAGCCGGGGTCCCCAGCGCCCCCCGCGGCCGCGGCGCCGCCTGCTGCGGCCGTCGGCACACCGCGACGCCATGGCCACCTCCCTGGACCGCGGCTGCCTCCCCGTCGAGGGTTCCTCCTCGCGGGGGCCCCCACCCTTGTTCCCGCTCCTGGTCACGGAGGCCTTCTACTCGCATCCGCCGCGAGGGGAACGTACCGCTTTGCCTCGGTATAAGGCGCAGCGTGCTGCCGCCGCTGATCGTCGCTCGGCCCGTGCCATCGAGACGATCACGACCCTCAATGGGACGGCCGCTGCCTGCGCTGGGAGGGAGGTCGCGCTTCGGCCCCCTCAGAGGACAGGGGGCGCCGACATCGCTCAAGAGTCGGCGCTCAGGCGCATCCGCCGTCGGATCGCGGGCGCTGGAGCCCTCCAGGAGCTCCTCAAGACCAGGGGCGTCTACGGCGGCCTCGACGCTTCCACGACTGTGGTCGATTTTGACTCGAGCCGCCACAACATCCCGCGCAAGGAACATTTCTCCGCGCCGCTCGACGGCGTGGCCCCCCAGAGCGTCACGGACGCGCTGGACAATTTCGACGCGACCGTCGCCCGCCCGCTCGCCGAGCTGCCAGAGGACGAGCCGCTGGCGCAGCCGTACTGGGACCCGCAGCTCGACCCGCGCCGGCGCGGCACGCGCCTGGCGCTCGTGGCATTTCTTCGTGCGCTGGCTCTCCGAGGGCTCGTTGGAGCTCGGGCCCGTCGGAAGTCGTGCATCTCAGCCTTTTTCGCTCGTCAGAAGAACGGTGGCCAGAGAATGGCGCTGGATGCCCGGCAGGCCAACCAGCTGCAGCGCCTCCCCCCCAAGACCGCGCTGGCCTCAGGAGAGGCACTCGCGGCGATCAACCTTGTGGACGCCGCCGACCTCAGCCCCGACGACCTCAGGCTCGGTGGACCTACTTAGATGGGTGCGAAGTTATAAGTAGTTATAGGTTAGGTAAGTGGTTCTATTTTAGGAGAGGCTTGGATGAGTTAGGATTGGTTAGGAGGCCCAGTAGGTTCCATAGGAATGCCGGTTGTGATAGTCACCGATAGCCCCCCCTGTGTTTCACTATAGGATCTATAGGAGCTTACAGTGTCCCATCATCAGCTGAATTTGGAATCCCTAAACATACGTATTTTCCATTACTTGTTACTTCTTCCATTTTTCATCATTTTTTATTTTCATTAATTTCACTATTTATTATTAATTTTCAATTATTTTCACTATTCTTCGCAATTTTCCATATCTGTTTACTTGTTCTTTACCTTTTTTGGTCGGCTTCTACTACCTGCAGCTCGACATCCTGACGCATGCCGCGCGAGCCGCCGCGGGGGGGATCCCGCTCTTCATCCGCTCGATACCTCCTCTTCCTCCTCCATGATGTGCCTCGTACCTTTCTACAGCGGCCAGACCGCTTCGCATATTTTCTCGTTCTTCCTCCTTTATTCCTGCATGGTTTCTACAGCGGCCAGACCGCTTTGCATTCCTCCTTTCTTTCTCCATGTATTCAAAAGCGGCCAGATCTTGCATTCCTCCTCTATTCCTCCATGTATACTACAGCGGCCAGATCGCTTTGCATAGTATCATTTCGTTTCCTTCCCTTCTCCTTCTCCCCTGACTCTCGCAGCGGCCAGGCCGCTTTGCATTTGGTTTCGCGCTCCATATCACGCAATATCGCCCTTGCTCGTCGCAGCGGCATGGCCGCTTCAGCTGTTACGGCGGCCTGACCGCTAACGTGCGTATATGCGCCCTTGTTTGCAACGGCGGTCTGACCGCTAAATCTCTACTATTTGGTCCACGCAGCTTGCGCGTCGCTTTGGGCGTCACAGCGGCGTGCCCGCTTGTTGCTTGCGCGCAGCATATGAAGATGAGGAGGAGGAGGATGAAGGGGAGGTGGAGGAGGAGGAGGAGGAGGAGGAGCTGGCAGGAGGAGGAGGAGCAATACCAGGAACGGCCCCTCTTATCAGCGGCCTGCCCGCTTCGCAGCCTCTCTCCATCCAAGCGTCGCGCCGCAGCATACGCACGCAGCCGCGAAGCGCGACGGCTCAAGAGCGGCTATAGTCGCCGCTGACGGATGCGCCGCAGGATGGACGCCCCTGCGATTGCGCGGCGCATCTCCGCAGTCGGCGTCATCCTGCAGTCGATCTGCGACCCGCTGCAGGTTGCCGCGGCGTCGGCCGCGCAAGCGGGGCAGGTGGTTAAGGAGCTCAAGAAGGCGAGGTTGCCTCCAGAGGACATTCAGCCGATTCTGCAGGCGATCGCGGAGTCACGGTTCGCCGACGCCGACAAGGCAGCCCTCAACACCTGCATCTCGGAGCTGGCTAGCAACGGCGATTCTGCCAGTTGCGTCGCTGGCCTTCAGGACTGGGAGTCGCCCCAGGAGTTCTTGCCCCAGGCAATATGGGATTCCCTGCCGACAGGGGACCCCAACCCCCTCTTCGACTTTCTGATCGACCTCGGCCTCCGCAGAGCTTCAGAGCCCACGAAGCAGACGATGGGTTGCCTGCTCATGCAAGCAGGGAGGGGTCTTGACGGCGCAATTCAGATTGACGTTGCGCAAAGGATTGACTCTGCGCTGGCCGTCGGCACGCTATTCGCTGAGAGGGTGGCCACGCGTCAGCTGACGACCCCAAATCCTGTCATCATGAAGTTGCCGACGGTGCCTAGTACCCTGGCGAACGATTATCCCACTGCGTACCAGCGGGCGCACAGCGTGTTCCCGCCGAAGCGGTTCGATCTCGACCCCGCCGGCTGGCACATCCTCAAGAAGACTACCAGGATGCGCCGTCGTTCATATCGGCCCGCAAGCGTTGCGAGCTCCCCGTGGAGCATCCGCGGGGCGCAGCCAGCTGTCTCGAGGCAGAGTCCTGCAGGTTCTCCACAATGGCCTTCTTTGCAGCAGCAGCAGCACCAGCACCAGCAACTGCCGCCGAGACAGGGCGCGTCGCCTGCGATGGTCGCGCAGTGGGTGACGTCGACGATGCCGACGCTGCTTCCGATGCAGTCGCAGATCCAGCAGGTGCTCCATCAGGTGTTGCAGCAATCTCTCACAGGGCTGCCGAGCGGGATGGCGCAAAGCCCGAGCTTTTTTCAAGCGGCCAGCGTTGCAATGCAGCATGCAGCGGCCCCTGCAGCGCTTGCTGCATCACCCCGGCCTGCCGCGTCGCCAGGTTCGCTTGCAGCGCCGACGCCTCCCCAAGGGCCAAATGCGCTTGCAGCAGCATCGCCGGCACCGAGCGCATCAGCATCAGCGTCCGCAGCAGCACTAGAAGCAGACGCACCAGCAGCAGCAGCAGCAGCAGCAGCAGCAGTAGCTGCAGCACCGTTCGCAGACGGGCCAGCAGCACCAGCGGCGCCTGCCGTTAACGCCCTGACGGGCTCCGAGCCCAAGCTGACCGTAGCCGAAGCAGCAGCAAGGATCACAGAGGCTTACGGTTCGCAGAAGGCCGACCGCAAGAGGGCAAGGAAGGAAGATGGCGATCTCCCTGAGCTCAAGAAGGCTACAAAACCCGTTATGAAAAAAAAGCCAGCGGCCGCTGGCTCCGCGAAGTTGCCGCGCGTGTGCGACGAGTCAACGCGTTCTAAGTTCCTCGTCCGCTTTATGGACCTTGCAGACACGCAGGCTTCCATGAGCTCCCCGTGCACCACGAAGACGAAGCAGGCGACAAAGAAGGAGGCATTTCCATCAGAGGGGGGGGGAACTTCGCGGAGGAGGAGGAGGAGCAGCAGCAGCAGAGGAGGAGGAGCAGCAGCAGCAGGAGGAAGGGGGGCGCAGGGGAGAGTAGGGGGGGGGAGATAGGTGCGAGTAGGGGATAGTAGTGGAGTGCAGGGGAGAGTCGGGGAGTAGGGGAGAGCATGCAGAGGGGCGCAGGGGAGCGCACAGGGAAGGAATGCGGGCCAGCCTGCAGGCCATCAAGACTTGCAAAGACGCGCGCAGCAAGGCCAACGTGGACGTGCCCAGTGGCCACGAGTTTCTCTCGACGAAGTGATCGTGCCAGAGCTCGGGCTTTCATCGCTGCGTTTGCGCGTCAGCAGCCCTGGCCGCGCGCGAGCATCTGCGCGCAAGCTTGCATCATCTCAGCATGCCCGCGTTTGGCGCAGCGGCCTAACCGCTTTGCTTGATGCTTTCTATCGCGGCCAGTCTGCTTGCATGCGTTCGCCAATATTGCTACAGCGGCCTGGCCGCTTGGGGTTTGCCAGACTTGCTTGTTATAGCGGCCTGTCCGCTTTCATTCTTTTCCGCTTTCCCCTCCTCCTCCTCCTCCTCCTCCTCCTCCTCTTCCTCGTCCCCCTCCTCCTCCTCTCCCTCGTCCTCCTCCTCCTCCTCCTCCTCCTCCAGCTTGCGCGGCCGCCTGCGCCGCGCCCCCCTGCGAGGCTCCGCTGAGCCTCCCTGAGCCCCCCTGCAGCGAGCGCCATGGAGGCGTTCCTCGAAATGGAGAACGCGGCGGTGTACTCCTTTCTTCTTGGAGAGGATATCTCCGCATTTGTTGTCTCTGCTTCTTTCTACGCCAACACAGCGTCGATGTGCTTACGCTAGTCGTCGATCGTTTTGAGTTGCATGCTCACCTCCCCCTGCATTGTCCCACTCCGAGCCCCTCCCGTGCCCCAGGAAGAAGCTCCTGCATATGCTGGCCAAGCAGCAGCAGCGGCAGCACCAGCAGCAGCGGCAGCACGAAGCACCAGCAGCAGCGGCAGCGATAAATCAGCAGCAGCGGCAGCGCCAGCAATACCAGTGCCAGCACGAAAGAGCACTCCGTGGCCGCGGCAGACCTCCCCGAGCACGAAGGAGGCCGCGACTCGCCACAGAGATGCCAGGGCGCGAGTGCTCGATCGGCATCGCGGCCTGGACAACCCCGGCAGTCGCCAGGTGAAGAGCCCTGTGCGCAAGAAGAAGAAGCCGGATCCTTCTGCAAAGCTCGGCGCCGAGCAGCTGCCGAAGAAGCGCATGGAACCTACTTCCAAGTGTCGCGCGCCAAAGCCGCAGGGGACATCGGCTGCCTCGCTGCCACCGCCGCTGCCACCGCCAGCTTCGCCGCCGCCGCCTCCTGCGGCAGCTGCAGCAGGCCCTCCACCGCCGCCTCCTGCGGCAGCTGCAGCAGGCCCTCCCTCGGGGACAGTGCCGCTTTGGCCGAAGGCGGCGTCGCAGTCCGAGGTTTCGCCGAAGCCCAAGCCTATCGCGGCGTCATCGGCAGCGGCCCCTGCAGCGGCAACTCCAGCGCCGCCTCCAGCGGCGCGTCAGCCGCCAACGAAGCAGCCGACGCCACCTGCACAGCCGCCGCCTCAGGCTCTGCTGCAGCCCCCAGCGCCGCCTCCAGCGGCCCCCCAGCGGCAACTCCAGCGCCGCCTCCGAAGCAGCCGACGCCACCTCCACAGCCGCCACCGCAGGCTCTGCAGGCCGGCCCCCACGGCTGGAGATCGCCGAACGGGGAGCCGCGGAGGGCGGGGGTCAACGGCTGCAAGGCGCGGTACGGCATCAGCGGCGGCCGCAATCGCGACTTCTACCGCTTGCTGAGGCGCGCGCAGGAGGAGGGCCCCGCGGCTGTGGCGGCGTTCAAGGCGCAGGACCCGTGCCCGAAAGAGCTCGAGAGGGCGTGGCAGTTCAACCAGAACGCCTTGCACGTCGCCAGGGCGGTCTCGCCAACGCCGCCAGCAGCAAAGGCGGAAACCAGCAGCACCGCGGCCAGTAGCAGCAACCAGCTCAGCAGACCGCCTTCACCCAAGCCTCCCCTTTGAGTAGCGGGCGCGACCGCTTAGCTTTGCAGCGGAAGCGACCGCATAGCGGATGCGACCGCTCAGCTCAGCGCTGCAGTAGCGGACGCGACCGCTAGGAGGACGAGGGGGAGAGGACGAGCAAGACGAGGAGGAGAGGACGAGCAAGGAAACGAGGAGGAGGAGGAGGAGGACGAGCAAGGAGACGTGGG